TGAATACAGAACAAACCATGGTTTTGGTTGAATGAGTATCTCACAAGAATATCCATGAGCAGACATCTTGGCAGTAGTTTAGCACTTTCTAAAAATAGCTGCATTCTTCATTAACAGTAAAAAGTAGTATACATTTAGATTGTTGTTATCCATGACAGTAATTTTTGAAAATATACAAAGTTATTTTTTAAGCAACTCCAAATAAGTGTGTTCACCAATTACCAAAGAAACAGGAATTACCATTACAGATGTGGACAGAAGCTATTGAGGCCATAACTACCTTTACTATGTTCCAAACAATGAAACACAAATGAAGTAAATCTAATGAGGAGACAATTGGATTACTTGGAGAAAGCTCCTGAAAATGAAGTGATTAACTCAGGTAAAAAATAATAAAGTGCTGCTCTTGTTCTTACTAAGACAGGAAAAGGCAATTATGCAAAGAGACACTTAAAAGCTGTGCTGCTAAGAATATAGTCCTAATCTTTCTTAATACTCCTTCCTTTCAAGTACCACTTTCCTGATATTTTCTTCATTTTAAATTCTCTTCAAAATTATCTATCATGTTCACTATCATATAGCATTTAGTGAGTCTGTTTTTCGGCCTACTGTCAAACTTCAATAATATTCTTTCACTGCTCAAAAACCCGTGAATGTCTTTTCAAAATAATTATCCAGAGATTTTCCACATACCTTGTTCTTACCATTATATTCATATATGTATAAAATTTTAGGAACATACAGAATAGTAATAGCTTTTCTTTGCTTTAATTTCAATATTTATGGGGAATTTGAGAGTAAGAAATAAGATCCCTTGGGGATTTTGTTTTTCATACCTTATTCATCTCTAACCTGCATCACCTATCATTACGTCTGACCAAAAAAAAATATCTGCAACATTACTAATTAACAATTTCTCAGAATAAAAGTAACCAAATGAATATTGTTTAGATGAAATAGGCAAGACAAGTCATTGTCTGAAACAGAAATATACAGGTAACAATCTGAAGGCACTTTAAATTATCTAAGAGTGTGTTGGCCACCAATTTAAGTGGCCAGTACCTTGAATACATACAAATGGAAGGAGGCATGTTTACAGAATCAATACCTGCACTGAGGTACACTAAAGTTTATAGCCTTGTAGGATACTGCACCTCATTGCTTTTTAAGTTATTACTCCATAACTTTTTATTTACAATTAGGGTGGGAATTTTAAATAATTTCTTTTTAACAGATTCTATTATATATTAAATTACACATATTAATATGTGTATTAATTCTTGTTCAGCATTCTTCATTAACTTACCCTGAATCTTGCCTACTTATTTGATCATTTAACAAAGGATATCTGTGTGTTTATGTTTGAGTGTGTGTGTGTGTGTGTGTGCATATGCACTTCTGGGGATTGACCCCAGGTCTTTAGGCATGCCAGGCAAGCGCCCCTATCATTGAGCTACATCCCCAGGCCCACAAAAAGTATTTTATTCATTTAATAAATATTTTCAAATAAAATATTCCAAAAATATTTAAAAGGTGATTAAGATACATCAAAATATTTAATAAGGAAAATAGCTTAATCTTTTTATAAGTGAAAAAAATGCATATTACCACTAAAACTTTTGAAAAACTATTTACTTAAATATCACTCATCCAGTAGCAGTGGTGCATACCTGTAATTCCAGTTACTAGGGCTCCAGAGCAGGAGCACAAACTTAGTGAGGACCTAAGCAAATTAGTGAGACTCTGATTCTAAATTAAAAATAAAAAAATATGAGCCGGGGATATATCTCAGTAGTTAAGCATCCCTGGGTTCAATCCCAGTATCCATGTCTAATTTTAGGAGTTTATTTTTAAAATCCTGTGTTTTAGAATGAAATGTTTTGGGTTATGACTATATCAATTTTTTTTTCAATTAATATTGAGAAATACATAATTAAAATATTCCTCTAATGATTTAACCTGCCATCAAAGGCAGTAAGAGTGACTGAGACCCAGGTGGTAGAGCCAAATTTTACAGTTTGAAATCAATTACTAGCGTAGTGACAGAACAAGTTCATTAGCTCAATAGTGTCCTATGATGGTATAAAAATTACCTAGCAGAGTGCATGGCACAGATCAAGTACTGTAACTTGTTGGCTATTTTTTTCTTACTTCAAAGTTATGATAATAAAAATATATTAATTCAAACTTGTAACATGGGAAGATCAATTAATAAAAAAATTGAAATTTGGAAACCTAAACAACATTTAGTTAAACAACATTTAGTCAAACCAAAATGTAAAAATGTTAGGTCATCTTCAAGCTTTAGAAGCCTAGAAATATTAAAAAGGAAAGCAAAATGTAGAGAAACATATAGAAGATTGCTATTAAATGTAGGGAGGGATAACAAAGGTGAAAATAAAATGAGAATTACTGGAAAGACAAAGAATAACTAGAAGAAGGTCAAGCAATTAGAAGACTGGGTTACAAACTGAAGTGTAAAAGGTTTCAAAAGCAAAGCAATGTAAGCAGATCAAGAAGCAGCCACACAGAGAAAGAGAGATAAAGTTAGAAGCGAAGATGATTTTCCTTCTCACCATTCAAATTGCACTTGAAAGTGAAAGATCCACAGATCCCAAACCCGGAATGAACCACACGAGACACTGGCTGCAAAAAGCAGGAGGCGTTTATTCTCACACAGGTGCCTGCGGGTGCACAGCAAAACCTCAGCCGGAGCTTCGGTGAACTGGCACACCGGGCTTTGGGGTACAGGTTTTTTTTATATAGGAAACAAGCGGGTTAGTTCTTAGCTTAGCACAGCAACAGCCTTTCTATTGGTTCCTCTGAATCCAGCCACTGGGTCGCCTAGGGGGTAAACTTGTTTTTTTTTTTCACTTTATGCTCTCGGAAAAACCCTAAAATTACATCCTGTCTTTTCAGTTTCTGTTTTTAAACCTAGTTCTCAAGTTTAACCAGTAGGGCTGTCTAAGAGGAACATCTTGTGGTAGGGGGCCCATTAGGGTTATCTACATGGAACATCTTGTGGTAACATTGTGCAACACCTGAGGTGCTACGTGCTGCTGGAGGGGTTTTGACATGGGGGTTGGGTGAGGAAGCGTCTTGCAGCTTTGGGGCCTAGGGGTTTGGTCACCTAATGCTGGGCCTGGGTCTTGAGGTCCTACATTCCCCCCTTTTTCTTTATCCGGGATATAATCTTATATCCATTGATCTACCTGCTCAGAGTCCGGTATTTGCTCAGCTGATGGTTCAGGGTGCTGTGGGAGTACTTGATATTGCTGCGCGAGTACCATAGTTTGAATTACAGACAATCTTTCTTTTATAAATTGCATTAATTTGTTAAATATGCAGGGCCCAAATGTTAAGATCAGCAGCAATACAATTAAGGGACCGGCTACAGTAGATAATATAGTAGTTAACCAAGGGGAGTTATTAAACCAGCTTTCAAACCAACTTTGGGAGCTTTGCAGAGACCTTTCCCTTGCATCTAGTCTTTCTCTAAGCTTTGTCATAGACTCCCTTACTACCCCTGTGTGATCGGTGTAAAAGCAACAGTTTTCTTTTAAGGCTGTACAAAGTCCTCCCTCCTTCAAGAATAATAGGTCCAGACCTCGTCTATTCTGCAAGACAACTTCTGATAAGGAGGTTAGGGATTTTTCTAAAGCAGTTACAGAGGTTTCTATTGCTCTTAGGTCTTGTTGGATTGCAGCTTCTAGAATCCCTAGCTGTCGGGGGCCCTCAACCAGAGCTGCAGCCCCAGTCCCAATTCCTGCCAATACTCCTGCTCCTAACAAGACTGCCAGGGTAAGGCTGATAGGCTCTCGGGTGTATCGAATCCTGCCCATGAAATGTCCTTCAAACTCCTCTGAGGAATAATAGAATAGTCGTGGGTAGATTCGGACTAACACACAAAAATCAGTGGAGGCATTGAGGATTGCCGTGGAAATACAGGGGGTCAGTCCAATGTTGCAGGCCCAATAAGTTCCGGGGGGACCCCACAAATAATTATTTTGTGAGCCATTTGTCAGGAGGGTGGTGTTACAGAGAGGTTGATGTGACAGGGGTATATTTCCTACACAGATCCCTTGTCCTGAAACTTCAGTGATGGTGAGTTTATAGCCGGGCAGGGACATACATTTAGGATCAGGGTTTATGTTACTGTTCCAGTCAGACATTATTGCTATTCCTTCATAGTAGGGTGGGCCGAAGGTGAGACAGAGCCAACATTCCCGGGTGCGGTCTGGGTCGGTGGCATTGAGGGCATAAAAGGCTCCTTGAATCAAATCTAACAATCGGTTTTCGGTTCCAGGGAGTGTGGGTTCGGGGGAGTAACTAGAGGTTTGATAGTCTATGGTTACAATTTGAGACATGGGTGGCTCACTGGGAGGTACTTTGGGCGGACTTTTTGATTGTCTGGGAACTGAGGGAGCTCTTTGGTCCCCGAGAGCAGGATTAGGTCCTATTGGGCTCATCAAAATTGGGGTTAGAGATAATTTGATTCTGAGAATTATACCGAGATCATCTCCTTTCATAAACCATCTAAGGCCCCATGTTCTCCCAGTGAGCCAGGGATCTAGCTGTTCTTTTCCTTTTTTTGTAAACTGTATCCGTAAGGGCAATGATTTGTCCCCTTGGTAGTAAGATTTAGGGGGGGGATAGCAATCAGAGGGGCGCGTGCCATGGGGAGTGAAGTTTTTGAGTATTGTTATGAATTCCTTATCAGAAGAAGGTTTCCAGTGAGCGTCCCCTGTAGTTTCACAGCCCCAGGAGGAGCAAAAGTATGTTTCATAATTTCCACATCTACGTGCTTGGGTTCGGTTTCTCCCTTCTTTGGGACAAGCGTAAAAGTCATGTTGACCCAGTCTGCATCTCGTTATGGGGGTAGAACAATAAGTACTGAGGTCATGTGAGTTGCCGGGAATATCCCAAGAGTCTGATTCAGCGGCTAGTTGGCAAAAGTCTGGGGTCAAAATAGGCCACCATGTGCCAGGGATGTGGGCTGCTGTAATAGACCAAATTATTTTCCCGGTTTCGGAATACACCTGCCAAGTCAACTTTATGGGGGTATGGGGATTACTACCTAGGACGAGGGGAGTAGCGTAGAGAGCAAGAGTGATTAACAGCGTGTAAGTCTTATCTTTAGTGGGTTTTGGGTGCGTTGCAGCTTCCATTCTGGATCCAGAGAGGCGTCTGTGGGCTCCTGCGGATGTGCAGCTTTCACGTGGGAAGCGTGGATCCAAGCGGTGATGCCGTCCACTTTGATTGCAGTGGGAGTGGTCAGCAGGATGGTGTAAGGTCCTTTCCACCGCGGTTCGAGGTTCTTGCTCTGGTGCCTGCGTACCCAGACGGTGTCTCCGACTTTGAAGGGATGTGGCAGCGAGGGGGTTTTGAGTTCCTCCTTGTATGCTGCGGCTAGAGGCTTCCAAACCTCGTTCTGGACCAACTGCAAGGCACGCAAATGAGTCTGCATAGATGGGGTGAGGGAGGCATAAGTTTCAGTTTCATAAAAGTTAACAGCAGGTGGTGGTGCACCGTACAAAATCTCAAATGGGGTTAGCCCCTGTGGGCCTGGGGTGTTCCGGGCCCGGTATAAAGCTAAAGGTAGGAGTTGTACCCAGTCTCTAGTGCCAGTTTCAAGCGTTAATTTAGTTAAAGTCTCCTTGATGGTTCTATTCATCCTTTCTACCTGTCCTGAACTTTGGGGTCTATAAGCACAATGTAATTTCCAATTAATCCCCAATGTATTGGCCACCATCTGACTTACCTGGGAGACGAAGGCAGGCCCGTTATCTGACCCAATGGTCCCAGGTACTCCATACCTGGGAAAGATTTCTTCCAGTAATTTCTTTGCAACCACCTTAGCAGTCTCATGCCGAGTTGGGAATGCCTCTGTCCATCCAGAGAAAGTGTCAACAAAAACCAAAAGATATTTGTAGCCATACATACCAGGTTTGATTTCAGTGAAGTCTATTTCCCAATGGGTTCCGGGCTTATGGCCTTTCACCTGGATCCCTGTTCCAATTTTGATCTTACCAGCATTTACCTGGGCACATGCTTGACAGTTTTCTGCTTCCTGGCGCAGAAGTTGATCCCTGTTTGGAAGATATAAAGTACCTTCCCCACGCTCTAAGAGCTCCTTCATCTTTTTAGCCCCAAGATGTGTCAGTCTGTGTAGGGACTTTACTAATTGTTTTGAATTTTTGAGGGGCATGATAGTCTTTCCTCGATATTTCCAGACATTTTTTCCGGGGTCATAAGTGGCCCCCAGTTTCTGTATGGCATTTAAATCTTTATCTTCATAGACCCAGTGCTCCTCATGGTCATCATGTTGTGGGTCTGCTCGTTGGGGCAATAGAGTCACTATCAAAAGCTGTGGCCCTAGGGCTGCCTTCTTGGCTGTTTCATCTGCTAATCTGTTCCCTTTGGCCTCTGGAGTATTACCTTTTTGATGACCGGGGCAATGCATGATACTTAACTTTTTAGGCAAGAATAAAGCTTTAAGTAAAGCTAATATTTCAGCCTTATTTTTGATCTCTTTTCCTTCTGAGGTTAGTAGACCCCGGCGTCTGTAAATTTCTCCGTGTATGTGAGCAGTAGCAAAGGCATATCTACTGTCAGTGTACACGTTTAGTTTCTTCCCCTCTGCCAACTTTAACGCTTGAGTCAGCGCTATCAGTTCTGCCCGCTGAGCTGATGTTCCGCCCGGAAGTGCACTCGCCCATATTACCTCAGATTCGGTGGTGATGGCTGCTCCTGCTCGTCGTTCTCCATTGAGCAGATAACTGCTTCCATCTGTGTACCAGACCAGCTCCACATCCTTCATCGGTTGGTCGGTGAGGTCTGGCCGGGTTCCCTGTGTCTCTGCAAGAATCTGCTGACAGTTGTGAGGATCTGCTTTTCCTGGGAGCGGCAGGAGGGTCGCTGGATTCAGTGTCACCATGGGACCAAACTGAATTCGGTCGGTGTCCAATAACAAAGACTGGTAATGGGTGAGTCGGGCATTTGACATCCAGCGATCAGGCGGCTGGCGAATTACAGTTTCGATGGCATGAGGGGTTAACAGGGTTAATGGCTGTCCCAAAGTCAGTTTAGTGGCATCCTTAATCAGAAGAGCCACAGCTGCAAATCATCCGGAGGCATGGTGGCCATCCTGCTGCCACTGGATCTAATTTCTTTGACAGGTAGGCTATAGGTCGCCTCCAGGGCCCTAGTTTTTGGGTTAAAACCCCTTTTGCATAACCCCATTTTTCATCTATAAATAGATCAAAGGGCTTGGTAACGTCCAGTAAGCCCAAAGCAGGGGCTGACAGAAGAGCCAATTTGATGTGATCAAATGCCAATTGATGTTCCTTAGTCCAAGCAAAGGAGTTACCTTGCTTAGTTAGTAGATACAAGGGGGCTGCTATCTCAGCAAACCCAGGAATCCAGAGTCTACAGAAACCTGCGGTCCCCAGGAATTCCCGCAGTTGCTTGGGACTCTGGGGGGGTTGGTATACTTGAGATAGTCTCTTTTCTGGCAGTTGTCAACCATCGTTGACCATCATGGAGTTCATAGCCCAGATAGGTAACTTTTGTCTGACAGATTTGGGCCTTCTTTGCTGACGCCCTATACCCTAGTAGTCCCAAAGTTTGCAATAATTCCTCCGTACCTGCCTGGCAATCTTCCTCGGAGGTCGAAGCCAGCAAGATGTCATCTACATATTGAAGCATGATTAGGGAAGGGTGTCTTACACGGAAGTCTGCCAAATCCTGATGCAAAGCCTCATCGAAGAGTGTTGGGCTGTTTTTAAATCCTTGTGGCAGTCTCGTCCAGGTCAGTTGTCCAGAGATTCCTCCTTCGGGATCTTTCCATTCAAATGCGAAGAGAGCCTGACTTTGGGGAGACAGTCTTAGGCAGAAAAAAGCATCTTTCAGATCCAGAACAGTATACCAAGTATGAGTAGGAGGCAAAGTGCTAAGGAGATTGTAAGGATTTGGCACTGTGGGGTGGATATCTTCTACCCTCTTGTTAACTTCCCTTAAGTCTTGGACCGGTCTGTAATCATTAGTCCCCGGCTTTTTAACTGGCAGTAATGGGGTGTTCCAGGGTGATTGGCAAGGTGTTAGGATGCCTTGGTCTAGGAGGCGTTTGATGTGCGGCTTGATGCCCTGATAGGCCTCTCTTGACATAGGATATTGTTTGATATTAATGGGAGTAGCAGCGGCCCTCAGATGAATGACTATTGGGGGCCGTTGTTTTGCCATTCCCATTCCTCCGGTTTCAGCCCAGGCCTCCGGGTAGGAACTAAGCCAATAGTCCATGTCTTTCATAGATACCGAGGGTTTGTCAAAAAGTTTATATTCGTCTTCCAATTTGAAAGTCAATACATGTAAGGGAGTCTGGTTTGGCCCCGTGATGGAGACGCTCCCATCTTTAAAATAAATTTGGGCTCTCAATTTAGCCAATAAGTCTCTTCCCAACAGTGGATACGGACAGTCAGGCACGTGTAGGAATGAATGGGAAACCTTACCTGTGGCAAGGTGTACTTCTCTCTTGGTGGTCCACCGGTAGGGTTTGCTCTCAGTGGCACCTTGGACCCACGTCGTTTTGTGGCTCATGGGTCCTGGTGTCTGTGTCAGCACTGAGTGTTGGGCTCCGGTATCCACTAGGAAGGTCACAGGTTGCTCCCCTACTTGTAGAGTTACCCGGGGCTCAGGGGGGAGCTCCTGGCCCTGACTCCCCTAATCTTCATCTAATGTCAGCAGTCGGGGAGCCCGGTTGGTATCTCTCCTGGGGTTGGGGGGTCTCTTTGGGCAGTCTTTTACCCAGTGTCCTTTTTCCTTGCAGTGGGCACATTGATCTCGGTCTACACGGGGTCTGCTTTGCTCCCTGTCCCTGTTTACTTTGTTTCCCTGATGTCCTGCCTGAACTACGGTGGCCAATATTTTACTTAGTTCCCTGTTACGCCTTCGTTCTCTTTCTCTTTCTTTTTTGTCTGATTCCTCTCTAAGCTTAAGTTCTCGTTCTTCCTGCATCTTTCTGATCCTGTCCTCTCGTTCTTCTGGAGTTTCTCTTTTGTTATATATCTTTTCGGCTTCCTTCAGTAAGTCTGCCAGAGAAAAATCTTGTAAGTTATCTAGTCTCTGCAATTTAGACCTGATATCTGGGGCAGACTGCCAAATGAAAGCCATGGATACATTTCCTTTTTGGTCCTCACTATCAGGATCAAAAGGAGTAAACCTCCGATATGCCTCTTTTAATCTTTCTAGGAATGCTGTCGGGGTTTCTTCTGCCCCTTGGGTAGTCTGTCTTACCTGAGCCAAATTGGTGGGTCGTCGCCCTGCTGCATGGAGACCCGCTATGAGTAACTGGCGATAGAGACGTAGGTGGTCCCTACCTGCTTCAGTCGCATGGTCCCAGTTCGGCCGGGTTAAAGGAAAAGCTTCGTTAATCAAATTTGGGAGTTGGGTGGGACGCCCATCGTCCCCTGGCACATTTTTGTGAGCTTCCAAAAGAACTTTTTGTTTCTCCTCTGAAGTGAGGAGAATTTGCAGGAGCTGCTGGCAATCATCCCATGTTGGCTGGTGAGTTACTAGGATAGACTCAATCAAAGAGGTTAGAGCTATAGGGTCTTTAGAAAAGGAAGGGTTATGGGTTTTCCAGTTATAGAGGTCAGAGGCAGAAAAAGGCCAATACTGATATTGGCCATTGGGGCCTCCCGTCTGTCGCAGGGGGAGAACTCTGGAGGTGTCTCCTGAGGCGGTGTGATCCCGGCGTCCCCGGAGCCGTCCCACCATGGGAGATGGATCCGGGGGAGCATTGGCGACTGGGCCTTCTTGGTTCTCGTCCTCGGAGGATGCTTGATCAAGTTCAGGGGCTTGTAAGGGCTGGGGCTGATAGGGAGGAGGCTCATCAGTCAGCAAGTCAATCAGAGTTGAGTCCTCCGGCAGTAGAACCTTCTTTGGTGTTGTCCCTGTTTTAACTGAGGTCTCAGATTTGTTAAGAACAGGGTAGAGATGAGAGGTTTGGGGAGGGGGAAGTGGAATGAGGGGAGCAGAGGGTTCAAGGGGAGGACGGAGAGGGGGTTTGGGTGGAGAGAAAGGAGCAACCCAAGGGGGGGGGTTGGAGGCTAAGTCCTCCCAGGTAACAATGTAGGGTATCTGGTCAGGGTGTCCATGAGGACCATGGGTGAAGATTCGGGTTTTCACCTGGAAAATAAGATCAGTATTAAAAGTCCCTTCTGCTGGCCAGCTGGTGTTGAATGTTGGCCATTCTGAAGTACAGAGAGTTTTCCATTTTTTCTTTTTGACTGTCACGGACAGGTTGTCTGCCCGATCTTGAACGTCTTGCCAATGATCTAGAGTTAGGCTCAAAGGGGTTGTTAGTGATTGTCCCATGTTACTCTCAGAGAGGAAATAGAGAGACAGACACAGTGACACAAAAACGAAACCAAACAGTGAGATCGCTGCGCGGCTTCGGTGGAAACCGAAAAAATCAGATGGCCTGGGAGAAGTTTGTACTTCTCCGTCGCCTACAAAGATGGTGTAATCCTCGGAAACACCGGGGGCCCCAAAGAAATGGACCCCTCTGATCCCTGGGACGTCTCCCAGGGTGGCAGGGGAGAAGTCCGAGTTCGTCAACTCCTTCTCAAATTGCCTCAGAATACTAGATGACTACAGAACTGCCTCAGAATACTAAATGACTATGCCTAGGATCATATAGTCTTACAGACGCTGCGCGGAACAAAGAACAGATAGCCAACAGGACAACAAGACAGAAAGTTTGAGCTGGCCAGCTTACCTCCCAGTGATGTCGGGTGTCCTCCGGATAGGGATCGGGATCGGAACTGGAACCGGGATCTTGGATCTCGGTGGAACCTCCAAAATGAAAGATCCACAGATCCCAAACCCGGAATGAACCACACGAGACACTGGCTGCAAAAAGCAGGAGGCGTTTATTCTCACACAGGTGCCTGCGGGTGCACAGCAAAACCTCAGCCGGAGCTTCGGTGAACTGGCACACCGGGCTTTGGGGTACAGATTTTTTTTATATAGGAAACAAGCGGGTTAGTTCTTAGCTTAGCACAGCAACAGCCTTTCTATTGGTTCCTCTGAATCCAGCCACTGGGTCGCCTAGGGGGTAAACTTGTTTTTTTTTTTTCACTTTATGCTCTTGGAAAAACCCTAAAATTACATCCTGTCTTTTCAGTTTCTGTTTTTAAACCTAGTTCTCAAGTTTAACCAGTAGGGCTGTCTAAGAGGAACATCTTGTGGTAGGGGGCCCGTTAGGGTTATCTACATGGAACATCTTGTGGTAACATTGTGCAACACCTGAGGTGCTACGTGCTGCTGGAGGGGTTTTGACATGGGGGTTGGGTGAGGAAGCGTCTTGCAGCTTTGGGGCCTAGGGGTTTGGTCACCTAATGCTGGGCCTGGGTCTTGAGGTCCTACAAAAGAAGCATAAGCCTTGTACTAAAGCATTAAAAAAAAAAGAAAAAAAAAAAAGAATAAAATAGTGAGTAGGTGCTATGTACTTTAAGTAGCAAGCTAAAGGTCATTAAGAATGAAGAAAAGAAAAAAAAATGTACAGAGAATAAAATAACATTTAAGATAAAAATAGATAAAGGCTCTATTGACTGCTGAAAGTACAACGATATAAAGCAAAATAGTTCTTCAAAATTATTAATAGAAAAATAAAAGAAAATAATCCAGACCAGAAAGTCTTCAAATAATCATTCTTCTACTTCGGATTTTTGAAGATAGTCTTATAAAATATTTTCCCTGTGCTAACTTGAAGTATACAGATTTTATACTTTTCCCCCCAATTTAAAAATTTTCTGTTATGTCTGCTTTTTTTCTTTCTTATGTAACATATAAGGAGCAATATTAACTTACCCATTTGCATAAGGTCTGCTTACTCCTAAAAGGTAGAGACTGTAAGCTTCTACAGTACTTACCAGCACCAATAGTGTGCATATTGGGACTTTTTTTCAACCCTCATCTGACTGCACACATCACCTCAGCCTAGATGACATATCCACTGGACGCACTTCTGTCTCCTGCTTTGCTGCTCTTTTCTTAAAATGAGCCAATCCAGGTCCCAAGTCCATGATCATTCTCCCCAGATTCCTCATTTTGTCTCAAAGTTGCTTTTTCTTT